CCAAAAGTCTATTACTTTTTTAACCATAGCTTAACTTGCATGCATATCTAAATTGAGATGTTCACATCTTTCTTTAGAAATTGATATGTTAAATTTCACAAGGTGGACCTTCTTTGTTAAATTTTTGTCCCCGTGTTTCCTTAGGCAGATAATATTCCCAAACTCCAAAGCATTCCTTCAGATTTAACCTTAGGAGGAGTAAGCCAAAGTGAGGTTTTGTAGAATAGTAGCCATAGGATGATATTAAAGTTAGGGCTTAACACTTCACTCAAAGCTATCTTCCAATTTCCAAAGCTAGCCTGAAATGAATTTGGAATTTTTTTTAAATGGGTTTTTAAGTATACTGCAGTGCTTAAGAGCAAACACACAGCTGCATTTGAGTCCTATCTCCTCCACTTATTAACTATGCTTTCTTGGGGTTATCACTTACCTTTCCTGCGCCTCATTCTCCTTATTTGTAAAAGAGCTGATAATAATTGATATCTCAAAGGATCCTTTAAGGAATAAGGGAGATCATAATATACTTAAGTAGTAACTGCTTCGTAGTATAGACTCCATGTAGATTTTTTAAATTATTACCAACTAAGAGTATTTTACATATAAAGTGGTAATAGAAGCACAACATTAAAATCTGTGGTTGAGTGGCAAGCAGGGCAATTTTATCTGGCTCACAACACAGCTTCAAGGCAGAACACGGAGCAGAGAGTTTCAAAGCACAAATATTCCCAGATATGGTTTGCTTTTGCAGATCAAAGTGTTTTTATGTTCCTTCCTTCTTTCTTCACACCAGTTATGATCTCCCTGCTTTTGCATTTCTCTTCCTACTTTGTTGTTTATTCTTTCTTTAAGGAAAAAACTTCAGCTTTTCTTTTCCTAGATAATTCTTGGTTAAATTTTACTAAACTATTCCCAGAATTCCCAGGTAATGTGAATCTGTAATTGAATCAAGACAAACAATCATATTAGCTCTGTTCCATATGCATGAGCTGTGTCAGGAATATTTGAAACTATTTTCCGTTGGCATGTTTACAATTTTAAGAAATCTATTGTGACTTGCAGCTTATGGATAAGGTAGGGAAAGCCTGAGGACACTGGTATCTTGTAGCTCTAGGTGGACACTTAAAATCATCTGCCCAGAGTTTCTGAGTAAAAGTGGTTTATGGCTGTCTGATGGTATGAAGTTAATGCTTAATTTGTTCACATCCATCTCATAGTTTCAACATTTGTAGTGTGTCAGTGGAGCAAGGGGGAAGAAGTTGTGGGTCTTCATATTTGATTTACTGTTTTCTTTAGATATTGCTTTCTTTGGCGATTATTGTAAATTTATGAACTTCATATATAATAACACCTTTCTTCATGGAACTCAGTGTTTACGGTGAGCAAAAATTAATGTACATTCTTAACAGACTCAGGATGTCAAAGTTAACATCCATTGTTAGATTATTTATTGATTGATTGATTGAAGAACAAATGTCAGCACAGGAATGCCAAGAACTGTCTCCATGTTAAACTACGACTCCATGATGGAACCAGCCATAAACATTTGCATATATGTAATGGTGATTTTATCTATGTTGAGCACCACACGCCCTGCCCGCCTCCTCCCCACCCCCCATCAGGAAGTGAATTCATTTCCCTGTGAGGAAAGCCTTTAGCTATTAGTGCTTAAGGGAAAATACTCTAAAACACTGTGTTTATTGTAAATGAAATTCCGATCACGCTTGCAGCCACTGTATTTTACTATCAAACGCACAACAGCCAAAGGTCTTCCTTTGATCGAGGGGAGCTGAAGGGTGTCTGCGTGAGTTGTTTCACATGGTGTCTTCTCCAACATCTAGGTGAGCACAAAATGCCGAGGCCTCTGGTGGGAGTGTGTCACGAATGCTTTTGATGGGATCCGCACCTGTGACGAATACGATTCTATCCTTGCCGAACACCCCCGTATGTATGCCGTAGTCAACCCCTTTTCCAGGGACAGGGTACCAAACAACACTGAACTTGGGTTTCCATTGCGTATTTTTATTTTCTACAGTCTATGGTAAAGTTCTGTCTAATTTTAGATGTTTCGATTAAAACATTTAGTTTATTTCAGAAATGTGAATTGAAACATTTTGAGCATATTTTATCTTTCTCTATGTATTTATACATTCCTTTAGGGTAAAAATATTAACTTGTTCATCTCTGCTCCCCCAAAGGGCCTGGCAGAATGTCTTAGGCACAGTAGACTTAAAGTAAACACTTTTTAAATTGAAATGAATTCTTCAGGGTGCTGTGATTTGAGGATTAGAGTCCACAGATTAGATGAAAGTTATTTCAGAGATGTCTTTTAGCTGTGACCTAAGTCAAATAGGAAGTTTACAGTAATTCAACGGGAGATTTGCTGGGAAAGAGAGAAGGTGAAGTAGAGGGGCAGAGACAGAGAAACAGAAAAACAGACATGGAGATAGATAGGTAAAGAGAGGCACACAGACAGGGATCAGGGAATGAAAAAAATCAGTGTACACAGGGTTAGCAGGTAAGGTAGAACCAGGTCCTTCATCTTCCCGACCTTTAGCTTTAAATTTTAATCAGGTTAGCAAGATCCACATTTCTATGAAATAAAGAGATTTCATAAGTTAAAAATGTTATCATTGATTCTCTCAGTTTTTCTCCATAATGTTTATTTATTTATTTAGAACATCCAGTCATGCCAAGAAATACGGGTGCTGTTGTTAAAGCTAATTGGTTTCGGTCTCCTACAAAGCATAGGATGAGGTATAGCAGGGAATGGAAATTTCTTTTCTCAAGATAAATGAAAAGCAAACCTGGGAATGTGACTTTTCCCCTCGACAGCTAGTTCAGTCCAGGGATAAGCACTTAAAAGGAGCAGTGGTTGAAAATATCTTCTGCTATTCAGGATTTGAGTGTTCTTTAATCTAATTCCTAAGGCCCATATTTCATTTTCTTTAGGGCCTCTTAATTCTTTCTCTTTTACCCTCCTTGGGCTAACCTAGTTCTACCTACAAAGAAGCATGATATGGTCAATAAGAGTGTAAGTTTATGTGGACACTAGGCTATTCCAGAAATTTAGTCCTATGATGAGGGTGAGAAAAAAAAAATTTTGAACTTCTAAATATTGTTATGTACATTTATGCAAGAATAACAGAAAATCACTCATAAGCTTACAGCACAGAGAAAACTGCTGTTTATATTTTAATATTTCTTTTTTAAATCATTTGCCTATACTATCTCATCTTTTTAAATATATTCTTACCTATTAATTTCAAATAATATGCTAAAGATTCATTACTTTTATTTTAAAAATTCTATCATATGCTTAGACACAACAGAGATGAAACTGTATTCTAAGAAAAGAACATAACTATGCCCTCTAAGTTAGGATATTACCTGTGAGATTTCACCTTTAGTTTTTGGTATCTTTTATAGAATCACAATTAGATAAACTTTTCCATTGCTCTATAGACCTAGAGTATACAGACCCAGACAACTTTTTTTTTTTCAGGACTCTTGTTGAATACTCTGTCCCCAAATCAGAATGTTTAACATTATTCTAGCAGCCAAATCTCAATTTCCAGAAAGAAATTCCCAGAAAGAAATTCCTGGCTGGTTAGCATTAGCCATCTGCCTGCAGAGCTGCCCTCTTGGAACTGGGCTGGCCATGGGGCTGACTGGATGACACCATAGGCATGAGTCTGGGAGTTCCACAGAGCATCAGAAATCACACTCTGGGGGCCCCTGGGTGGTGCAGTCAGTTAAGGTTCGACTCTTGGTTTTGGCTCAGGTCTCGATCTCAGGGTCTTGGGATTAAGCCTCATGTTGGGCTCTGAGCTCAGCAAGGAGTCTGCTAAAGTTGCTCTTTCCCCCTCCCCCTGCCCCTCCCTGTTCTCTCCCTCTCTCTCAAATAAATAAAAAAATAAATAATTCTAAGAAAAGAAAGAAAGAAAGAAAGAAAGAAAGAAAGAAAGAAAGAAAGAAAGAAAGAAAGAAAGAATCACACTTTGTGTGGGATCAATTGTTGGAGAGGGGAAAACCAGGGCCATGATTTTAGGGCATCCCATCCAGATAGCAATCCTGGCCTTGTTGGACCCAGGTTCTAAAACGGGACTTAAAAATGTTTAAGGAAGGCACTCCAAAGCGTGGGACTGCTTGATTTGGGGTGCTGAGTAGGAAACCCACTTGTATATATTATTTGAGGTTCAAGAAGATTGTTGAAATATAAAAACTGATATCACCTAGTTAGTTACATATTTTTCTCTTTCTGAAATAGGCTTTCTATTTGGCCTAAATTAGAAATTTAAGTCTAAACCTTTTGAAATAATGCCACATTTTAAGATCTTAAATATTCACCTATTAACCAGGTAGAAGTTGGGGCTCCTGGGTGACTCAGTCAGCTAAGCGACTGATTCCTGATCTCAGCTCAGGTTTTGATCTCTAGGTTGAATGGGCTCCACACTGGGCATGGAGCCTACTTAAAAAAAAAAAAAAATCAGGTAGAAGCTGATTTTATGCATTGATTTCCTCTCTTAGATGGATCATAAAAGTATTTTTTAAAAGATTTTATTTATTTATTTGAGAAAGAGAGTGAGCAACAGAGAGAGCACAAGCTGGGGGGAGAGACAGAGGGAGAAGGAGAAGCAGACTCCCCACCGAGCAGGGAGTCCAATGCAGGGCTTGATCCCAGGACCTTGGGACCATGACCTGAGCTGAAGGCAGACGCTTAACAGACTGAGCCACCCAGGTGACCCAAAAGCATTTTTTATTTTAAATAAATTGGCCACATTTTATAAGCAACCTATTGCTAAATAAACCTTAAATTTATCTTATCATTGAGGAAAAAGTATTTAAAATGCAAGGAAACCACAATCACTATGAAAATAAAACATAATTACTGTACCGTCAAAAGAATAAATTGTATCACTCCTCTAGTGGCTAAAATAGTAGTAGCTTTGACACAGGATCATTAACCTTCCATTTATGACAAAATTTTCCTATTTTTATTTTTTTAATTTATTTTTTAAAGATTTTATTTATTTCATAGAGAGGGAGTGTGAGAGAGATCACGAGCAGTGGGGAGAGATAGAGGGAGAAGCAGACTCCCTGCTGAGCAGGGAGCCCAATGTTGGACTCTTTCCCAAGACCAAGATCATGACCTGAGCAGAAGGCAGACACTTACCTGACTGAGCCACCAGGCGCTCAAAATTTAGCGTAACAGCTCAAGAGGTTTTCATAGTTGAGGATGCTTCCGTTGCAGATGATGATGGCTACTATTCCATTCTGTTTACCCAATATACTCTTTCCTGGACCTTCTATCATATATTCTCATGTGGCCATAGTTTTCAATTTTGCTCAGTTGGCAGTGCAAGGTTAAAGAGTTAATATGGAATGTCGGCCAAGAAGGGTCACCACCTGAAGCAATGAAAAAGAATATGACCTGGCCTCTAGATACAGTTTTCTACTAAATAACAGAAGCTTCTTCTCCTAAAAACCTGCTGATGGCTCCCACCAGCCTGAATTGGCAAGTGACATCTTGAAGTATTTTATCCTGCTCCCCTATACTAAATTTTAACCAGCTATCAAAAGTATATTTTTCAATAGACCTTCAAACAAGTGCAGTGGGATCAGTAATTTCTTAAATATTTATTGGGATAACTTCTGCAGAAGAGATAGTCTACTTTGACTCAGTATTCACTTATAATACTTGTGAACAAGACTCATTCCAAAACAGGAAACAAACAAGGAAACAGTTACTTAGTCCACACTATATGCCAGGCATTTTGCTAGGGGGCCAGCAAGACTAAGTAATAATCAGTGCTTAAACAAATAATAATATCAATAATCTGTGATATTTTTGCATTTTATGAAAACATTCCATGTTCATGCAAATTTGAAGTCTAATTCTTGCAGTGGGTGTGTATTAATGTACGTGATTATCTGTTTTGGGGTGCACCTGTGTGCCTTAATGTGTTTTCTTCCTCTGACCACTATGTAACCATATGCCCTGATCTTCCAGTGAAGCTGGTGGTAACTCGAGCATTGATGATTACTGCAGATATTCTAGCTGGATTTGGATTTATCACCCTACTTCTTGGTCTTGACTGTGTGAAATTCCTCCCTGATGAGCCATACATCAAAGTCCGCATCTGCTTTGTTGCCGGAACCATTTTACTAATAGCAGGTATTCTCTGCACTAGTGGTGAGGTAGAGATGCACATCTATGGTCTTGAGATGAAGGAGAAGGGTGCTTGTTATCAAGCAGTTCATTTTAGGAACATATGCGACCTGCTTTTCTAGATTGAAGGAATAAAGAACACATCCACCAACCCTACTTACTTCAGATATGGAATCAAATAATTAATTTTTGTTAATATCCCGGAGCAAAGTTTATCGAAGTCCTCAAACTACTTTTTAACCATTTTAAAAAGTTATATAATGATTTACAATTTTCAAATAATTTATTTTTTGATTATTCCTGAAGTTAAATCCTCAAGTAAGTCCCAAAGCACCACCTCCTTACCTGAACCCACTCCCACCAATTCTTTTTAGCAATGAACTTAATTGTGCCAAGTCCTATGTTAGACTTTTCTCATGTGCCAGGCCATTTGATCATAAATGTAACAATAAGCAGATTATATCTCCACTTAAGAAGCAGATGAATAAATGGAGTCCTGAAGGCTAATAAATCAAACATAACTCATAAACAGTCAAGAAGCACTTTATATGGTGTTTATTGATGAAAGAGCAAGGTCTGTCATTAAATTCAGTTTAGTCTTCCTCTGTCACAACATGATGTCTTCTTAGGATCTTAATGCAAGTTGGGAGAAAATACACTGTCAAAGAAATCAAAGTGCAGGAAGATCGAAAACCAGTGGGCACACCCCTCAGAGGGAAAACCATCATTTTTTTATGGTAGCAGCCAAAAGTTAGCAAAGCAAATGCTCGTGGGAACATCAACAGGCAGTACAAGAGGAATGGATAGGGATTTTGGAACTAAAAATGCTTAGAGGGGCACCTGGCTGGCTCAGTAGGTAGAGCATGTGATCTTGAGTGGTGACTTGGAGCCCCATGTTGGTGGTAGAGTTTACTTAAAAAAAAATAAAAACTAAAAATAGATACGTGGAGATATATACGTGTGATGTGTGAGTTAGGCAACTGGCCTCCTTTTCTTGATCTGCAAGATAAGGTAAAGCCCCAGTAATAATATCTACACTGAATTGCTGTCATGAAAATCCAGTGTGGGGAGAGTAAGCATGTAGCAGAGAGCCTAACCCATCACACAGTCAAAACTGGGGCTTCCCTGAAGTTTTACACACACACATTGAGTCAAGGCCTGATGAACCTTAGGTTGTATTAAAAAGTCACAAGAACTTACTAAGCTTTCCTTTTTAAGTCATTTATTCCCATGTCCTGCCTAGTAATAACATAGAGCTTTTGTATGTAACAATGTGTTTTATTTAACAAATTTAAACATCATTTAATGCTATACAATTTTGCTCCAGAATACTTCTTGAGATATCACTAGATAGACCATTTTTTATAAAAAACCAAAACAAGCTAAATTAAAACAAAAAAAGAAACAACGAATTGATGAAAAATATCCCTACAGGAATGGATGAAGAAATGACAAAATTAAATTTCCAGAGTTGGCCAAAGGCTTGGAACCATCATTTGAAATTAGTATGCCAAATATATTATATATAAAATACTAATTTTATGTATAAAATACTAATGCCATGCATATGATATGTTACTTATAAATATTTATGGCATACTATTTTTATATGGTATGAAATATATACATATTTCATATATATGTATCTATGTGTGTGTATATATAGAATTTTCCATAATCTGTAAATTTCATAAAGGAATTTCCATCTTAAACGTGTAGATTGCAGTATTATAGAAAATATGTGGTAATTTAAACTGTTATCTGGAGGTTTTATGTTCATGATCTGGTCCTTCTTAAAGTTCTTGCATTAAACAGTTGGGAAAAGAATGCAATGAAATGGTGAACACTATTTTCACATAGCCTTTTTGTCCCATAGTTCTCCACCTTTTTCCCTTGCATCTAAGCAATGATGTGCAATTTATACCTTTAAAGTGAGAGGACTCTAGTGGCATCATTTCAAGGCAGTCCGATTGTCAGATAGACTAATTCTGGGGATTAAATTTTGTTCAAAAGGAACAAAATTTCTTAGTTCATTCTTACATGGTGTGGGGGTGGTGGATAAGAATTTATTTTACAATAAAGACAGTTTTTACTCCAGTTATTTGTTTTTGACCCCTACACACTAAAATTATTGACTTCAAAAACATAGTTTCCTTATGGGTGCTGATTACGTAGCTGACATACCTTTAATTGTGGGTCTAGGTGGTGGGGCAGAGAAGAAATAGAATATCCTTAAAGACATATACTTTTAATTAAAAATCAATAGAGAATGAACATATGCTGTATATTATTTGTCTTAGATTTGGTGTTCTTTCTTTTGTTTTTCACATTTCGTTTTACATAGCACCTAAGAAAACATTGGAAAGAGGGAAATTAAGGAAAACCACAATGACCATTTTAAGTTTACACACACAGAGGAACACTACATTGTTTAATCTTTGTATTTCTCTTTATGTATAAACTGATACATAGTTTAGAAGAAATACAAAATAGAAAGCAAAAGGAAGACATAGAAGAGGTATCCAAAATTTGAGTTGTCCATAAATCCATAGCATCATTATTATCCCTCTAAATGATGCCAAGCATTTTGGGTAGTGGTCAGATCTCCTTGAATCTAAATTTGGAAAGGCCTGCATTATTTTTAGCAACTTTCCTTTCTTTCAGGTGCCCCAGGAATCATTGGTTCAGTGTGGTATGCTGTTGATGTTTATGTGGAACGTTCTTCTCTGGTTTTGCACAATATATTTCTTGGCATCCAATACAAATTTGGTTGGTCTTGTTGGCTTGGAATGGCTGGGTCTCTGGGTTGCTTTTTAGCTGGTGCTGTCCTGACATGCTGCTTATACCTCTTCAAAGGTAAGAACAAAATGAAATAACACACTTACTTGCCACCTGTATCAATCTTCCCAACCCAATGGAAACAGATCTCACCAACACAAAATAATGTTGCCTACTTGATCCTTACCTATTATTAAAAAATGACACTTTAACTATTTCTGTTGTTCAAGGACAACTGATTTGCAATATTCATGTCTTATTACCTGGTTAGTGGTATATTGGGTGAAAAAAAACAACAAACGAACCCACAGCTATAGGTATATCCAACATTTAAATATAAAATGATGATTTCAATATTTTCAGAATTTTATAGATCTAACTTCATCCAATCTACTAAATTTATATCTACAGTTAAATAGAGAGGTAGACTGAGAGCCAAGTCAAATATTTGTTGTTAAAAAATTTAATATGTTACTATTGGGTTTTTAAAAATATCACTTAAAAAGCAAGAGAATCTATCTCCTCATCAGAAAGAAAGAAAGAGAAGAGAGAGAGAGAGAGAGAGAGAGAATGAGAGAGAGAGAGAGAGAGAGAAAAGGAAATCACCCAAGTTTTAAATCGAAAAATAACTTTCCAGATGAAAATCTTTGATTTTCTTCTAGGATTCTTCTTAGATGATTCCTTCTTAGAATAGTTATATCCTTGCCTCTTTATGAGAAGAATGTGTAAAGTGAAATTTTCTCCCCAAAGTTTACAGAGTCTTATGATTTTATATCATGACATTTATCTCTTTCCAACAGATGTTGGACCTGAGAGGAACTATCCGTACTCCATGAGGAAAGCCTATTCAGCAGCAACAGTTTCCATGGCCAAGGGGCTACCATACGTAGCCCCTCGGACAGAGACTGCCAAAATGTATGCCGTGGACACGAGGGTGTAAGGTGCCACACGTCAGTCTGGGTGTACGTTACTGAAATAATCAATATGTTTGTGTTAATCCAGGAACACTTATTTAGACCTCAGTATGTTCAACTAAATCAATTGCTCAGCTTAATCAAGAAGTTTGATTCTCCCAACCCTGCTCCTTTTCTGTTGTTCTCATATTCTCCCTCCTCCTTCCCAGCCCCCTCTTCCACACGCCCACACACACTTGCCCTGTATTTTCAGATACGGTTGCTAGGATATACAAATGTTTGTTTGTGATTTCTGGATTGCTGTTAGAGATTGTGACATGGTGATATTCAAGTAAAATGACACTTTAAGACTAGAAAGCAACCTTTGAAAGAGGCCAGGGATTCTAATCTTTGAAGGGATTGACAGCCTCTTAGCAAATTCCCTGGCTTTTGGTTCATTCTTTGTGTTCTCATCTGAGTGAGTTATTTGATAACTTTGAGGAAGATGATTCTTCAAAATTTAAGCTAGTACCGCAAACCCTACCATTACTCTGACCCTGTTAAAATAGAAAAAATAAAACAGCAGCTTCATATACCAGCCACTGGTGGAACGTAAAGATAAGAAGTTTCAAACTGAGGGTTGCTGGAGTGGTGGGGGTGGGAGGGATGGGCTGGCTGGGTGATGGACACTGGGGAGGGTATGTGCTATGGTGAGCACTGTGAATTGTGTAAGACTGATGAATCACAGACCTGTACCCCTGAAACAAATAATACATTATATGTTAATAAAAAAATTTTAAAAAAAGATAAGAAGTTTCCCCTTCGCATTTGGAATGTCAAATGCAAATGCTAAATTAATACCAGAACAGTGGTGACTTTCTTCCTCATTAACAACATAAGAGATATGTGTATTATTTTATCACTACTGTAATTTTGCCTATATATTGTCAAACTATTAGACCACAGCAACAATAGCTAAACTAGAGAGTTAGTTAATTCACTGATTGGACACCCAAAAATATTTCATGAATGCACTATATTAGAATTCACTGATTCAAGTGTCCTCATACCACTAGATCCTCAGCACCCAGCAAAATACATGTGATAAAATTTGACAAATAGTTGTTGATTGGAAGAAATAAAGGCTCACCACCCTTTACTGAAAATAAGATGAATTTTTCTCATAAAATGTGTACTTTTTTGAAAAAAATAGAATTATATATTTAATTATACACTTAAATCAGTGAATGATTGCTAATGAGATTTTATTCATATTCTAATGTAATCATCTTAATTTTTTAAATCATAGGGCTTTTTAAAAAGTTACATAATTTAATTTCAGGTTTTCTGATTTCTTATAAATCGCATGAATGGCATGAATACTCTTGTAGTACCGTAACAGACTATCCACTGAACTGGAAATTAGTTCTTTCGAAAATAGAGATTTAGTTGTGAATTTCTGAAGACCTCCAAAAAAAGTGTTTTAAATTTAAAAAGTTAAAAATCATGTGAAAATGAGAGGATGAAAACCTAATACATATATTTATGTTGTTGTGAATGGTGTTCATGACTTCACATGGCATCTCTTTACCAGTATTCTCAGGAGAAATTCTAAGCGAATCTTAGAATTAAAAGCAACTGATTGACTTTTATTTCATGGATATTACTAACCACGTAATTGACTTTTAAAAAATTATTTGTAGATCATGTTTACTTGTTATATTGGTGTTATTCTATGCAGTTTAAAACTTATTTTTTGTTGTTCCTTTTTTCACAACTTTGGGTTTTAAAATTTTTGCTCCTACTTTTATTTTATGATATATTGTCTGTCATGTTTTATATATTCTAATAAGTCTTGAAATTCTTCTTGGGAAAGGCAGGGTAAAATTAATTAAATAACTCATTAGATTTTAGAGAGATAAATTTTTCCTCCTTAAAGATTTCATTTGTATGAGGAAATATTTCAGAGGATTCTTGTGATAACTGACATCTATGAATGTTTTGAAATTTTTCTCAATAAAAATGTTTTATATATCCTGGGACATATATTAGTTTTTTTTTATTTCTTTGGGAGTTTATTCCTCATTCATTATTATTTAATGAAGCCTCCCAAAATAAAGCATAATAAAGACTATAGTTTGTATACCAACTAGGGACAACAAAACAAATATTAAATGGTGAAGAAGTAATAATTGGCATCGTGGCAATTCAACACACCCAGAAAGAAAAATTATGGAAGCCCAAAGTATACACACAAGATTATTAGGTTGAAATATTGAAATAGCCCACTAACTTCTGGATACTAAAGTTTAGTCGTATCTGGTTACTTACAACAAGAAAAAATAAAATTTATAAAATTGGACAATTGTATTTACCTATATCTCTTCATTAACCCCTATTTTCTAATATCACATTTTTAATTGAAATTACCTTTTGTTATTATAGATGGTATATATGTGCATTGTAGAAAGTCAGAGAACAAAAATAATAAAAAATGTATATTCCATATTTTACAATATGGGCCCGTGTTCTCTCCACTGAGAGCATCACTATTCCTAAAATTTCACTGAGTATCTGCATGTCATTCCAGATATGCTACATGTGTACACATGTATGCAAAGACATCCCCACATATGCATTTATTTCTTTTTAAGGGATAATTTCGTATATGTTGCTCTGTAAGCTACTTTTTTTCCCTGTAGTATCTCTGCTTTATCATAGTAAAAAATTTTCATTTTTATCTAATTCCCTATCCATATTGAAATTTCCCCAAGTTTTTCAAAGCCGGTTTGTTCAAACCAGAATCTGCATTTCCTTTGGTTGGTATGTCCTTAAGTCTCTCTGATTCAAGCCATATGTTTTTTTCACTGACCCTGAAAACAACAACAACAACAATGGAACCAGTTTTCTTTAATTTTGTTCCACTTTTGGATTTTTTTTATGTCAGTTAGCTTGTTTCTCTATGCCTTCTATTTCCAATAAGTTGGAATTTAAATCTGGAGACTTGATGTAATCAAGTTCAAAAGTTTCTAGAATACGCTATGTGTTGTGATAGCATATCTGGAGACTTAATATCTGGTTGATTTAGCCTCAGTTATGTTAAAATCGTTCACTGGATTAGGATGATGGCCATCTAATCCATCTGTTCTTCAGTTACATATATTTGTACGTTAGAGACAAAAACAAGGGATTATTATGGTGTTCTTCTGGAAACTGTAGGAATATTCTATTCTCCATCAACCATAATACTAATTTTAAAATAACACCTTTAACAATTGATAATCCTTATCTGAATCAATAACTGGTTAGGGTTTGTAGAAAGATGAATTTCTAATTATATTTTATTTACAACTGCAGTGGAAATTCATCTGTAGAATAAGCCTACTCTCCCCATCTGAGTCTTTGTAGTTACCATAACAAATCATGTCTCTCCTTTTGCTTAAAAGTCTTTCTGTTGTTTCTAGGATAAAGTGATGAAAATTTTAACATGATTCTAGGCACAGTCAGTCGAGCGTCTGAGGCTTGGTTTTAGCTAGGGTGATGGTTTCAGGGTTGTAAGATCAAGGCCTGCCTCCGCTCTGAGCTCAGCTCTTCTCTCCCTCTGCCCCTCCCCTCTGCTCTCTCTCTCTCTCTCAAATAAATAAATAAATCTTAAAAGTAATTAACAAGGGGCGCCTGGGTGGCTCAGTCGTTAAGCAGCTGCCTGTGGCTCGAGTCGTGATCCCAGGGTCCTGGGATCGAGCCCCGCATCGGGCTCCCTGCTCAGCAGGAAGCCTGCTTCTCCCTCTCCCACTCCCCCTGCTTGTGTTCCCTCTCTCGCTGTGTCTCTCTCTGTCAAAAAAAAAAAAAAAAATTGACAAGACTGCAAGCTCTAAAGGGGCTAAACATTTTTTACTTTGTGTACTGCTCTATTCCCAAAACCCTGCGCCGTGCCTGATGCATAGCAGGCCCTCAGTATGCCTGTTTGAATAAATGAGTGAATGAATGGCAATCATACAGTGGCCTGCAAAAGCTAAGCATCCATTGCATGCGATTGATTTGTTGATTGGATTATTCTTACATTATTCATGCATATATTTGTGCAGTTTTATTAAAAGACCATTTGTGTGTTTTCAAACATCCTCAAGCATAGAGGGGACAGAGACACAAACAACTAAAGTTAGTGTGCAATAAAATAATTGCTGCAATTTGGTTATGTATGCACTGTCATAGGAAAAGCAGTCACTTCACCTGAGAGTCAGGGGAGGCTTTGCAGAGGAGGGAGATTTTCAAAGAAAACAAGTTAGGAGAAAGTATTCTATACAGAGAACAACATGCACAGAGAAAGAATCAAGAAGAGGCAACTAATGTGCTAAAAATTACGAGCAGTTCCATGTTCCCAGAGAGCATAACTGGGAGAAGGAAGTGTGGGTTTTGTTTTGTTTTGTTTTTTTAAGATTTTATTTATTATTTATTTGACAGAGAGAGAGAGAGCGAGCAGGAGCACAAGCAGGGGGAGCTGCAGAGGGAGAGGGAGAAGCAGGCTCCCCACTGAGCAGGGAGCAGAGCTGGGGCTCCATCCCATGACCTGAGCCCAAGGCAGACGCTTAACTGGCTGAGCCACCCAGGCGCCCCGAGAAGGAGGTTTTGATATATATTTTTAAAGACTTTATTTATTTGAGAGAGAGAGAATGAGAGAGAGAGAGAGAGAGAGCACATGAGAGGGGGGAGGGTCAGAGGGAGAAGCAGACTCCCTGCCAAGCAGGGAGCCCGATGCGGGACTCGATCCAGGGACCCCAGGATCATGACCTGAGCCAAAGGCAGTCACTTAACCGACTGAGCCACCCAGGCGCCTGTAGGTTTTGATATTAACAAATTATTTTAAAATGAAAAATATGAGGAGATAGCATTTTCCCTCTTTCCAAGGTAGGAAAATTGAAGGGAAGATATTTGCTAAAAACCCTCAATGCCGTCTTTAGAAATATAACCCAAGTCCAGAAGGTGCTAGTTTTATTTGGTCTGGCAACATCCTAGTTTCTCTAATGCAGCCAGCCTCTTTGAGGACTTCTCTATGCAGCCAAGTCTTATTAAGCCAGTTTTCACCAACACAGACATAATTCTGATTCCCAGTTAATTTTCCCATCATATCCTCTCCTTTACACTTTAATCTTCTTTCAAATCAATTGCTTTCCTTTTTCGGTTTTCTTTCTTTGTCTCGACGTTCTCCTGCTGGAGAGAATAGTTCCAATCTTATTTTAAGGATATAAACTGAGAAGGTAGAAAAATACTTCTTGGAGTAAGTTCTGCAGTTTTTGAGCTTAGAAATAATTGTTCCCAAGTAAATAACGTTAGCCCCCGATATGCAGTAATTAATTGAAAATAATATAATGCACAATCCGGTATTGGTTACCGTGTTTCTATTCAAAAAAAGCTGGTGACACTTGAAGTTTTTATTGAAATAATTTTATTTGTTTAAAATAAAAAGGGATAAGGAAGAAGACACACAAAAAATCCACGATTATTCCAGCACCTGGAAGAGAGTTAACATAGAGAAAATTATATATGCATAAGACTTTTCAAAAATTAACAGTACAGAAATGTAAATACGAATGTCCCTCTTACCCACCTCCATGGACTTCCCTTACAGTCTCTCTCTCAAGAGATGTACCTCTCACATATTTCTTGTATCCTTTCAAACAAAAATTAAAATTTATGGCATATATATATAGATCCTTTGAAAATGTACACAGCATACTGTTACTTGATCTTTTCCCTTTAAAAATAAAATCAATAATTAAATATATTTATTGGCATTTTTCCATATCACCTCATTCATTGTAATGGCTTCATAATTCATTGTTCATATGAACCATTATTTATCCAATTTGTCCCTTTAAACATCTCCATTTTTGCTATTATAAGCAACGTGGCAATGAATATTGTTTTAAAAACACCTTTGTCAAAAAAACAAAAAACAAAAAAACACCTTTGTCTTCTTACAGGATTATAACTATAGCATTACTTTTTAACTATGTCTAAAAGTAGAAATGCTGAATCTATGTGAATATATTAAATTTTTGATACCTATAGCCAAATTGGCCTCCAAAAAAAGGTACTGATTCATACTTTCACCAGCAGTGTATAAAAGTGCTTGTTTTCCCACACTGTTGCCAACGCAAGATGCTAGCAATCTTTAATACTGTTACTGATATTATGGGTAGAAAATGATATCGTATTGCTGCTTTGCTTTGCCCTTCTTTAACTAAAT